CGATAGAGTTTTATCCATTGGATAGATAAGTGATAGAAAAACGTATAGCATTATCCACCAGATAGAGTTTTATCCATTGGATAGATAAGTGATAGCAAAACGTATAGCATTATCCATTGGATAGATAAGTGATAGCAAAACGTATAGCATTATCTATTGGATAGATAAGTGATAGCAAAACGTATAGCATTATGCACCTGATAGAGTTTTATCCATTGGATAGATAAGTGATAGAAAAACGTATAGTATTATCCACCGGATAGAGTTTTATCCATTAGATAAGTGATAGAAATACGTATAGCATTATCCACCGGATAGAGTTTTATCCATTGGATAGCGTCATCCAGCCTTCGAACAGCTGGGACCAGGTGGATAATCTTGAGCTGAAAAAACATAGTTGGCTCCTCCTTACTCTTGTTGCTGTCAGAAATAATAGAATTGTGATCTGCCTTGGTTTGAAGATAGATTTCCCTTTAGAGATGGAGATAACCTTGGGCAATTCATAAATAAATACTTTCCTTTGCATGCAGTACTTAAGATCCAATTTTGTTGTGATTTTTCCTTTAAATATATTCACAAAAATTGTTGTGTACCTGAATATACATTTCTGAAAAAATGATGCCTGTCTTAATAGCTGAGAATGAGTGCACTTTTTATATAACATGAGTGCAAAGTTGTAACATGAGAGCAAAAATCTGCCTGGACTTTGTGTGATGCTTTTTTCATTTGAATATTGACAAGAAACAACATGATTTTTCATGCAATTTGGTTCTGAATGAACACAGTCATTTGTGAATTTTTCACAAACTACAAACTACAAATGGCACGCCTTACAGGCTTGTGCAATCATGTTGTCTTTGAAAAATTTACTCATGCTTATTAGTGCCAAATTGCACTTGAAGTCATGTTACTATCTAGACATATATGAACAGTTTTTTCCTGGCAAATCAATTTTCCACAGTGTTTATGAGAAAGATGAGGTGCTCATGGCTGTTGGAATAACTGCAGTAAGTTGTGGCCTCTTTAGTACTGTAGTTATACTTTTTTGTGTTTTTTTTTTTTTAGTTCTTATGAGAGATGCTCTGATAAAGTGATGAGTCTGAGTAACAAAAATACAATTGATGCTAGCCAATTTACTTGTGGAGTATTCATTTGGCTGAGGCTAATAAAACTTGTAGTCTAATAGAGAGGTTTTTGTTTTCTGCAGAAGCAGGTTTTGGCAGATTTAGGACTGTGCAAATTCTGTGCAATTTAAGACAAGTCACAACATTCTCATGCAATCTGAAAAAGTTAATTTTTCAATAATTCTTGATGTGCAACTTTTTACAGGTTGTTGTTCTGGCGATTACCATTTTTGCATTCCAGACTAAGGTAAGGAATGATTGACCCTCCTTAAGACTGAATAACATTCCAGCAGGTGTTATATCAGTTTCAGCTGTAGGTGTTTCCACTTGTAGGGCTTGAAGTATTCAGGCATAAAATGCAAACCATCATCATGATGATAGTTACTGTTTTAGTGGTAAAGGCAGTGTTGTTCTTGATCCCAAAGCTGCAGTTACTGGACTGTACTTCTGTTAGCATCAGGACTCAAGGATTCTAGTTGAAATAGTAACACTTACTTTGAATCAGTTTTCAGAGAGTCATTTTCTGTTGCATTTCCTACCACAGGCACGCGATTTCTACATTAATGCTCACAAATAAGCACTGAGGCACTGTTTGCTTTGTTGCACCATGTTTTTTTTGTTTTTGTTTTTCTTTTTTTTGCATTTAGAGAGTTCTGCATACTTAATTTTAACAGCAATTTCTTTAAATATGATCTGTTCTTGACAGTATGACTTCACTATGATGGGTGGATTTCTGTTCGTGGCTTTGATTATTCTCTTCTGCTTTGGCTTTTTGATGATCTTTTTCCACAACAGGGTAAGCAGTATATTGTACAATTTGCCTACAGGTGTAGGAGCTTTTTCCATTTCCTTTCAGCAAAGAGGGAGTCTGGGACTGAAGAGCATGATAGGAGAAAGAGGATTGGAGGAGAGAGGTCTCCTTGACCCTTCCTTTAAATTTCAACTGCAAGCCACAGCATGAACTTTTCTTGATTTTACTTATGGTCACTACCAGCCACCCTTTATTTTCCATAGGTTTGTTTGGAGATTAAAACAAAACTAGTTCAAGCAGGATATGTTAAAAATAAAATAAGAAAAGAAACGAAACGAAACGAAACACATTGGGCTTTTTTTTTACATAGTTTCTATGGCGTTTCTTCTCTATATCTTTTTGTTGTGTTTAACACTTTTCACATCTTCTTTGGTGAAAGTTATTAGAAGTTAAATTTGGTTTCTGTTTATAGTTTACTTAAAAGCTTTGATGTACAGTGTTTTACCTCAAGTTCCAACCTCTAGTTTAGAAAGACCAAAAATAGCTAATAATAAATAGATAATCGTGGTTGATTTGCTAATTTAAAGACACACATCGTCAAACACTTGTAAAGTATGACACCCACAACATTTGTGTTAAACCTGGTAATAATTTTCCCTAATATTTCAGGTTCTTTCAGTTGTTTATGCTTCCCTCGGAGCCCTCTTATTTGCCATGGTATGTTTCTTAGAAAAATAGTGTTCATTGTGTTGCTTTCTACAGGAGCTGCGTCCAATCAATTAGAAAAAGAGAAAAGATTCATTTGGTTTTCCTTAGCACTGCTCATACATGTACCTCAAAGGCTAGAGGGGCCAAGCAAATAAGTGATTCAAATAACTCAAATGAGAGACAGAAAAGATAAAAATTACAATTTGCATGAGGCCTTGTAGCCAAGGACTTCCACAGAAATCGACAAAAGGGACAGAAAACTCTATCTATTTAAATCCCGCAGCCACATTTTTGAGGTGTAAATTTTGCTTACCATGAAATGCTTTCTCTGATCTGAGAAATCTTCTTTAAATGCTGGACAGAGATTTCCAAAATGTCTACCTTCCTAAAAATAAAGTTATGTTTTGGACCCAGATAACGCTGACTTTAGGTGAAAGGTTTTATGCCAAAGTCCATTCAATGCCTTCTATATACAGTGTAGTATTTTCATTTGGGGACAGAACGGACCAAAATGCTACTTTTCACGCATATAGATCGTCTTACGATTTTGAATTCATGGTTACCCAATAACCTGTTGCTGTGGAAGTGTGCGTACCTATTCCCTTCACCGAACCATCTCATAGTTCTTTGAACTTGGTGCTGGTTATTTGTTAGAAGACTTAATACATTGGCTTCCAAAGCAGGAGATTGCTCCAACTTATTGTTGTGGTGTGGTGTGTTTTATTTTGCAGTACCTTGTGTATGATACACAGATCATGATGGGAGGAGGCAAAATGTACTCCATCTCACCAGAAGAGTACATCTTTGCTGCACTGAACTTGTACCTGGATATCGTCAACTTGTTCTTGTACATCCTCCAAATTATCTCAGCGGCAAGAGGAGATTAAAGAGCCAGCTACAGTGGGTACACAGTTGGAATCTGCCTTAACAGGATCCAAATCAAAATTCTCAAATCGGTTTTAGTACATTTACAACTGTTTGTTGTGACAATTTGGTTCTTGGTCATTTTTATCCGCCCTAAGATTAAGGTTTGTTTTAGTTGGGAGTCGTACGGTTTGAGAGAAGAACGTTTACTGCCTCTTTTTGTAAGCTCTGGTGTTTCTGTTGGAACCCAATGTTGTTTTGTGTGTAAACCTCGTTCGAGATTATCAGAATCATGTTTTTAGCCAAAACGCAGCAACTTCAGGAATTGTTTAAGTTTAAAGTGCGGGTTCTGGCCAAGATTAACTGGAGAACTTCGAAAATACCAAGGTGAATAATGGAGAAATGGATAGTATAAGATTTTCTGAAAATGTAGTTTGCTCGTCAGGAGAAATTACTCAAATATTTATGAATTTTGGCTCTCTTATTATGTTTCAGTGTAAAAATGTTTAGTATTTGCAAGTTTCTGTGTAAATTATAAGAGCATTATTGGTAGAGATAGTTGTGTTCTAATAAGTTAACAATGTTTTGCCCATGGAGCTAGGCAAGTGTTGTGTCAGAGATAAAAAGTTTGAAATTAAATATTTTAAGGAAAGTCCTCTACCTCTGATCTTTAAATTATTTTAGGCTTGCTTGCATGGGTAGTCGAATTATTCAATAACAATGTATAGTCTGGGGTCGAAAGGTATCTGGGATTGCTGTGGTTTAGCTTTAAGTCCCCCCAGTGATTGGTCAAGGAAACTCCAGCTAGCCTGTCAGCCAATCAGATGCCAAACGGAAATTCAAACGTGATATGATTACTCGCGTTTTCCCACGGGAAGCTCGAGAGAGAGTTAGGGACTGTCTTTATTTCATTTGGGCCTCGGCCAGTTTTTGCGGAATTTTATCTTTCACGGTTTTTGTTAGGCAATAAGATTTTTCCCTGAGGGCCCCAGCGTCCCGTAATCGTTGTGCATACATCCCAGCCGTCCTATATTTCCTATGTATTTCATGGGATCCTATAAAACTCCTATAATAGGCCAAACACTCCTCTATTTCCTATGAATACTGCTTGAGTTATAAGTAAGAAAATAAAGCGAGTGTGTCCAACAGGTTAGATTGAGTTTGAATTAATGACCTGAAGGATGTCATGGGTGAAAAGAAATTCCTATCAATTATGAAGGTTGTGAAGACAGCCCTTATTCTCTTGGACATGGTAATGCTGAGGTTGAAAGGGGATTTTCAGAGAGTGGAAAAAGTGTTACTGATGACAGAGTTCGTCTAAGTGAAGCGTGAATCAATGGCATCCGTGCAACAACTGATGGGCTGAAGGCTTTTAAAAGGTCCTGGTTCTGTGCCAATCACAAAGCAACTCCTTCAGCTGAGTCGTTCTGCACATGCTCATTACGTTATGCGTCTAGATAAGGACAAGAAGGAGAAGGAAGAGGCCCAAAAGTAACTTACTCTTCAGAAAGAACAAGCAGCACAAATGGAAGCACAGAAACAACAACTTGCCAAAGAAAAGAAAGACCTAAACAGCAAAGAGAAAGAGTTAGAAAGGCAAGAAGCAGCTCAGCAAGAGTGCATGGAAGTTGGGGTTACAATCTTGAGGGAGGCAAATGCAAAGTTGCGAGATGCCATGAGGAATAAAGATTTTAAAGAAGTATCAGTTGCGAGATGCCATGATTGAAGCTGCAGAAAAGAAGATCAGTAGTGCCAACAAAGCGATGTAGCAGACAAGGGAGCAACAGCAGTCTGTTTCAAAACGAAAACAGAACATCATAAACACCTTTCTGTCACAGCCTAGCAAGCCAAAATTAAAGAAAACGTAAATGATAAGTTCAAGACTTGAAAATGATTAACAGACTTATTGTACACTGTTGTAGTTTTGTTTTTACGCGAAGTTATTAAGATGTGGATGGAATGTGCTCCTACATCTGTATCCAGTTTTCATGAGAATTTACATTTTTGAAGACGTGAGGTTCGAGGGCATCTTCATTTGATCAGAAATTGTTAAAACAATCTTGTTGCTGCTGTTGTTAAAAACCTTATTTTTTTCTGGGATTTGAACAAAAAAATCGATTCATCAAGCGAAGGTTTATAGAACTCATATTTAGGTTTATAGAACTCAAGCGCCCGGGCGCTTGTTTGAAATTTCGGTCTTAAGGAGGGGCGCCTATTGGAAGGAGAGCGCATAATCGAAGGGGGGGAGGAGGAGTGCTCATTCCAGAGTGATCGTTGTTTGATATCATGGCCTAAGGGATTGGTGCTTATTCAGGGGAGGGCAAGCTGAGTCCTTTTAGAAGAATTATGGTATTTCATTTAAAATCGAGGTTATTGACGCAAACAGTAGTGCTATGGAGTCGTATTCGAGATTTTACCAGTTTTTTCCCGAACTCTGGGTATCTCAAACCATTTCACCGGGTCACTGTACGAGAAGGTTAAAGATAAAGGGAACCGAACTCAAGGTTTTTCTTTCACAGCATCATTTACATCTGCGAATCAATGTGAATGACGTTGCAGCGCATCTCAACTGAAAAATACCATCTTTAATATTTGATTTCTCTCTGCATTAATTTACAGTCTGAAGCGTAGCTACGTCTACTTCAAAGTGTGAATTTGATGTGTCTCTTTTTCCCCAGGTTGCCCGTCAATTCTAACTGTTTTTAAACGAGCCAGAAAAACAAAAATTGTTACAGTTTGCTGCAAACCAACGTTAGCAATTAAAGTAAACGCTTCTTACACGAACCATTTAAGTGTGTACACGAGAAAACATGTAGACATTAGTGAAATATATGTATGGCATAATATATGCTTCGTAATAATATATGACGCGATAAGTGCTTGATAAAGCCTATACCCCAAGATAGCATAATATATGTATGGCTGGTGTTATATTATTATAATATCTAACAATGCTATAATCCAAAATTAGTAAGAAAATTGTCATTACTCTGTATCCCCAAGATATTTCCTTATCCCTAGAAACCAATCTCAGCAGAAGTGGTCGTATCCGCATATAAAGTCATTGTACAAGACCTCTTCCACTGTCTTTTCAGTCAATGAACTTTACACCTTTTTCTGTCCAGGTTCTTTCTCTTCTCTTTGTTCCCTTAGCCAAAGCCATCTTCAAACCGTACCACTGAGGTTCACTTCAGGCAAGCCAGCAATCTATGTCTGTTGGTGGGTGGTGTTTCGTTTCTTCTTCAGTCCAAACCGTCGCAGATTATTGTATCGTGACACAGGTACTTGGTATCTTTTCTGATTATATGCATACTGATTTTTCATGTAAGCCAAACGAGGTAACGGTCTTGAGATAAAGGACCTCCTCATGGAGCCGGGGCCGCAGCACCTGTGGGGACACTCTAGAGCGCATACATCAGCACAGATCTTTGGGCACCTTGGGGACTGAGGGATGTCATTGATTTTGGGCCTCTGGTCGACGGCAGCTTTGATTGGTGGATGAGGACCACAGCAGCGCCTGGGACACACTTGTTTACAGCTCGAAAAGCACACACGAGGACATCCAGCAACTAGTTCCATATCATGAAAGCGTTTCTTAGTACAGCATGGTTTGGGACACGGTGGCAAGCACGTCTGAGGGGAACAGGCAGGCGCCAGGCACGAAACAGGCTTTGGTTTCTTTGACGTTGGGACAGCTGACGTTGGCCGGGCTAAAGAGTGACAACGTTTATTTTCATCTCAGTGTTGATAAAAAAGAAACAAAGCAAAACAAAACAAAAGCGCTATCCTCTCGGACCATAAGATTTAAAACAAAAACTAATCTTGAGTTGCCCACATGTGGCCGTTTATCTGTATTTAGAACAAGCCCAGAATGTGCACTTATTTGGTTCCTCTAGTATCTGGGTACTTGGCCTTTCGCTGATGTTGGTTTACGACACTATATAAAAAGCCCCAGCTATCCAGAAAAATAGGTTGAGTTCTTGAAGACACTCTCTCCCTAGTTTATCAAGATCTTGTGGGTTCTTACCTAACTTTTCATTCTTTTTATTACGCCCTGCTTTTGGCAAGCTTATCTGCATTAAAAGTTTGGCGTCTGTCCTCCGCCCTCTTTAGCGCAACATGAACTGATCTGAGCTCTTGTTCCCTTGATAACAACTAGATACTAGTTTTGGTCAAATCCTCAATTATGGCAGACTGTTGGGCTAAAATGGTTAATAGTCGATTGCGATTCTCAGTAGTCCAAATCTCCCTTCTTTCATAGTACTATTTAGTGTTCTGAATTTTGTATACTATCCTTTTATGAGGAACAATGACCTAGACAGCCCATGATTTCTAACGGCAGGACTAAGACTCTCACAGCGAGAGTCTGTGAGTGTTATACAATTGCCACACCTGTGACTGTGGAAGAAGCTGGCTTAGTGGAGCCTGGTGCTGCTGTGCTGGCGGGTTTGCCCGTGGATGAGCAACAGCTCTGTTTAAAAAAAAGTATCTTTGTTAGTTTTTTTCCTCGTGCGGTTCTAACCTTTCGGCTTGTGAGATATTTTAAACTCCCTCTTAAATCAAACTGGACGTACGTGGTTTTTGCTGAAACAATTTAACAGCAATAGAAGCATTTTGGACGCACCTGAGGACACGGAGTTGCACAAATTTGAGTACAGCTCGCTGGGCATGAAGAAGTGGATGGTGTAGCTACTGCAGTAACGGAAGATGACGGTTTGACAACTTGCACGCCGGTCACCTTAGCACTGCAGCAATCCTGAGGGCAGACAGTCAGACAGAACTTGAGACAGATCGGCTTACAAAGTTTCTTTGGTGTGGCAGGTTTCGGAGTCACTACGGGTGATACTGTTCCAGGACTGCTTACGCAAGGATATCCAGGATAACCAGGATATGAACATCCCATGGTCATTACAGTTGGGGGCGAAGGGGCGGGGTAAGGCATCGGTGCAGGATGAGGTGCTGGGTATGATATTGGCAGGCAGCATTGAGGAGCACACACTGGGTTACATGATGGATTGGGAAGGGGCATGACTGGTCTTGGCGGAGGAGGTGGTGGTGGAGGTGGAGGAGGGGGCGGTGGCGGTGGCGGCGGAGGAGGAGGAGGAGGAGGAGCAGGTATCGGTGGCATGCAGCAGGCCGGAGCACAAGAAGGCTGGCAGGTCATTTGAGGGTAAACTGGGGGAGAAGGGGGTGGGGGTGGACGATAAATAGGGGGAGGTGGAGGAACAGGCATTGGATAATAGTTCATTCCAGGTAAGCAACACCTGTGCTGAATACAGATGGGTGTGCATTTCTTCCAGCATTGCGCCAAACATGCTCCACCTGTGGCAGACATAGGAGACATTGGGGACTGAAACGCTTTGTAAGGTTGCTGATAAGATTGGTAACCTGGTTGCGGATAGGCAGTTCGTGGGGGCATGGGAGGTCTTGCGACTGGCGCAGGCTTTTTAGCTGGAGTGGTCGCTGGGTTATCCTGGTGCTTTTTAAGGCTCGGTTTGGCTTTGTCTTTCTTGGGTATGCCAGCTGGAATAAAAAATCAACACCAAAGCGGAAAATTTCCAAAATCTATCGATATTAGCTTAGCCTAAAAATAGCCCAAACGTTAAAAGGTTATTTAGGGTTAGAATTAGCATCTGATCAGTGTTTCATTAGAACAATGGTTATGAGGAATGTTATTTTACTTTAGTTTTTAATTTGTTAGTTTTTATTTGAGTTTTAGCAGAGAGAGATGAGCAGCGACCAAAACAATTCAGCTTTTACCGGAATTTTTACTGTCTTTCTTTTTCTCATCTTTCATCTTGTCATTGACGTCGCTCTCTTCGTGTTTGTCTTTGGCATTTTCTTCTTTTTTGTCATCGCTTTTCTCTGATTTGTCTTTGCTTTTATCATCTGTTCTATCACTTTTGTCCTCATTTTTATTTTCTTGTTTGTCATCTTGCTTCTCTTGTTTACTCTTCAGCTCTTCGTGTTTATCTTCTTTGATAACTTTTTTTGCTTCATTTTTGTCTTCCTTTCTATCATCGATTTTAACTTCTTGTTTATTGTCTCCCTTTTTGTCATCATCACTGTGATCATTAACTTTATTATTTTTACCCTTTTTTTCTTGTCCCTTGTTGGGCTTTGCGATTTGACTCCTAAGATCATCCAGACGAGAGATTTGTTGCAAAGCTGGTACACTTCTGGCTGGTCTTCCTGAAAAAGATAACATATAGTCGAAATGTTAGGTCGAGAGCTAACTTTTTAAACGCTCCTAGAATCTCCTGAGGAGCTAACTAATTTCCACGGCTTAGAGTACAGGGGCTTGAATAAAGGAAGCGTTGACGGATCGGTTATGTCAAAATATCTTAAACTGGTGTTCGGACGGTTTTACAGTCACCGAAGAATAGGTGTCGTAGTTAACATTTTGGCGCTTTTATATTTTCTATTAATATGATGTAATAACAAACTAGGAAACCAAGGGAACTCAACTTTGTTTATATGCACTTTCCTCGGGAATCGGGCGAGTAAGGTGAAGCCCTGTGAACAATGGGAACACTGGGGACTCGACCGTTATCACAAAACAACAAATTATTACTCGCATAAATCAAATAAGAGGAATATGTTCCAAGTTTTTATTCAAAAACCTAAAGAAAAAATTATTGGCGAACTATCTTGGATGTAATTTGGATATATCAACAAAGTTGAAATGGTAAATTGGCCACCGTAACGATTACAAAAGCTGACGTTTCGAGCGTTAGCCCTTCGTCGGAGTGATATCTTGGATGTAGTTACAATATAACATGGCATTTTTTCAGGCAGCAATGACAGGTTCCAAAAGTTGCCAATGTATCTTATTACTGTTCTCAACGTGTTTTATTATTCATATGAACTCGTTGACAACCATCTTTGGTAACTCCGAGTAGAACAGAGAGATATCCTGAAGGGAAAGAGACTTTTTCTGCCAGTCTGTTTTATTTTATTTTTGATGAAATAGCCTTTCGGCACTAGGAGAAAGTTGCAAAGTTGATCCTCGACTTAAAATTCTTATTCAAGTTGAGCTATATTGTATCTCTGGCGCACTGGACCTGTTTGGTTTTAAGTGAGATTGCTGACGTTTATTACATGGAAAATAAATTCATGTCTTTTATAACATCGACCTCTAATTGACCCCGGTGAATCAAACACCAAAGTTTGCTTAAGCAGCAGCTGTTCTTGGGAAATTTTCTTAAATTCGATTTTCCTTTCACCTCTGAACAACGACGATTCGAAACTCCAAATTTTAACCCATACATTTCTGTGCTCACTCCCAGTAGTGCTGATTTGTCCATTAAGTTGGCCTTTGCGAATTGCAGCTCTTATACTTTTGTCCTAGTCATTCCTAGTGTCCAAACGATATTAACTAAAAATTTATTTAACGACCTCAGTTTTATTTAGGAGCATAGACATATCCTCCGGCATGGTCTTAACAAACATTACTGTGTTATTCACGGATGATGAGTGACTAATTACGCATACCTGGTTCGTAACTGTTTAGCTTTTCACACTTCAGGACCGTGACCGCGAAGCAAAGCAGAGTCGCTGAAGCAAGCCACAACCTTGTCATCTTGTTAAGAACAGAACATCTGAAGCAAAGAAATAAAATTCGACCATGCAGGTGTGAAATCGACAAATCGACGGGTACCAAATAAAAACTCTTGTCCGCTTCAATGGAAGGTCAATCGCAAAAAGTGCCAACACGTTTCAATAAGTCAGAATCTTTCTCTAAGAATCAAAATAACGGGGGGAAAATCCTAAAACTTACCAGCAGTATGTTTCTTTTATTCTTGTCACGAAAATATAAGATAAAAAATATCTGTCACGGTTGAGTGACTTTGACTTGACTGCATTACATCACCCTTAGAATGGCTGCTGTGGTTTGTTTGGCATTTGTGCACCGGACACATAATCTGAGCTGAAACGGGTCTAAAGAGGAAACTTACGGGTTGTTTGTGTTTCAACATTAAATATTAATTTGCCCAGTGTCGAACCGACTGGTAGTTTTGGCCGGAAGGGTCGTGAAAAAAATCCAACGAAACAGTAAAGGAAAGTGCGCCTCGATTGACTTGAATGGAAAGAAAAGCCCTGTGATACAATGATGTAGCGAAAAGTTCGTTTTATAAGATGTCTTCTCCTCTCCTTTGAAAAACCCCAATATAGTTTTCAGTTGTCAGTGAGTTCCATTTAGTGTCGTCGACAGTTTTCCAAAAGAATCTTCGATTCAATTCAAAAGTTCCCTTAAGTCTGGCCCGCTATATTACGTAAAATAATACGTTTTGAGCATAAACGAGTCAAATATAAAGTTCACTTATTTCCCTTGCTACCATCTTGGATTTTCAAACCATTGATTCCTGGGGAAGGGTTTACGTCCCTATCCCCTGGATCGGGAGGGTAAGTTGGACAACCTAGTTTTAACAGTTATAGAGAATCGCTAAAACTTAATTGATAGTGCGTTTACCTAGTGTGTTTATCTTTTCTTATAAGACAAGGTATTTCTAAAGAGCTGATTGCCCTGTTTTGACTGTACCGTCGCAGCTACTCTATATCTTCTTTACCCAGTAACAACTACGAATAAATCAAACTGGCTTATTTAAGTGCGCAATTAAAAAATTAAGAAAATTAATGTTTGAGTTCTGAAATAAATAGAGTAGACATGGCAGATGAAAATTGGATTCTCGAACATCGGTGAGGCAAGATTTTATATAATGCAAAGAAACATCTTCTATCCGCGGTCATTATGACAGATTCCAAAATTAGTGGTCCTCAAATTGGAGAGCGCATTCTTTTTATACAGTTGGTACTTTCATCTTGGCAATGTTCTAATACATACCAAAGGAGAAGCCAGCCAAGTTAACGTCCTCCGTAAATTTAAAAAAAAGTACTGCGTTGGGAAGAAATAAAAATCATTCGACGCTTGCCTTCTAAATTATTTTATAAGGAACTTGCTAAGGGTATTCTTGGCTGCACAATTGTGTACTGATCTATTTTTTTCCCGTACAGATGGGTTACTTAACAGGGCATTACTTCTAATATACGGGGTTATGGCTCCTGTTTTAAGATAATTGACATTGGTTGAACGACCAAGTTGGAAAATACGGGGTGATGGTGGCCAAATGATTTTAGCCTAACATTTTCAATATAAGAAAAGGAATGGTGAGGATTTGTGAAGAAAAATACTTTTCAAGTGCCTCTCTCCTTTTTCGTAATGATTAATACATTACCACATATGGCCAGACAACCACATAAACTCGAATACTTTATTGAACCAGTAACGATACTTGAAACAGAAATTTGTTAAAATATGCTCTCAGATACAAAGCAAAAGACCTTAAAACGTCACTGTATGTACAGAAAATACCATTTTCGGGACAATAAAACGAGAAAGTCGAGTTGCGTTCCACCATCGCGTGAACCATCACGATCGTGAAGCTCTAGTTTGGTTGAAGGTAGCTTGCCTAGTGATTAGTCTCCTCTCTTGCAGCATATTGGAGGGCAGGCTGGTGCGCAGGTGCTGGGCTGACATGTTGGAGGACAAATCATTGGTGGTGGGGGTGGGGGTGGAGGTGGTGGTGGTGGTGGTGGAGGTGGTGGCGGGGGTGGTATTGGGCAACAAGTCGGCGCACAGGATGGTTGGCAAGCTGGCATTGGTGGGGGTGGGGGCATGGCTACGGGTGTTCCACAGCAGCTTGGGTCACAGGTGGGAGCGCACACTTGCATGCATGTTGGTGGGCAGGGAGGAGGGGGTGGGGGTGGCTCAAGTGGTGGGGGAGGAATGGCTGGGCCGGGTTCGTAACGGGGTCGTGGTACCCAGTGCTCTGGGCCAGGAGGACGGACGCATGGTGGAGGACACAGTGGTTCAGCTGTATATCAAGGGGAAACCAAATTAGTTAGATTTGTGCTATTTAAACAATTTAGAAGTTAAAGTGATATTTTTTCAGTGGATAGATTGCTTCTTTTTTAAGTTTTGCAAAGTTCAAAGCCGGATGAAAACCCCATCAAAACATCCGATTGCAACATCATTCGGTGGAGGTTCGTCCTAAGTGGAATTTCCTTCTTATACATCATCTCTATGTTAATCAGAAATGGCATCGAATAACAGGCAATAATTTAATAAATGAGACGACTTTAACACATGTCTTACTCGCTGGGGCTGCTTCCTCTTCACCTCCACTTCCGCTTTCTTCGGCAGTACTTCCTGATTCTGCAGATTCATCTGCGAATCAAATGATTCTGTGTCAGTTGCACTACCGTTTAAGAAAAATTTACTTAGAAGCAGTTTTCTTCAAGATGCCTATTCTAATTTAGATTTCTGCTTTCAGAAACAAAATAAAAGTTCATCTTAGTTTAGAATAACTTAATTTGCTACACTGCGACTTTTTTATTACACTTCGCCTCCAGGTTTTTTTGGTTTTATCCAGAGAGGATAATTTGTGGCCCATAAATGTAATGCAGTGCTTTGCCCGTTCCATTCTGCATGGGACACGGTAGATTTCCACGCAAGTTCACGCCTCAAACACCTCTTTTCCGTGCGTCTGCTTCCAAAGAGCATTGGGAAAGGAGTTTCTAATAGAGAAAGGATTTGTTCTTCACCAACATCAAAGTTCTTCTAAATCTTGCCCCATATACCTCTGCCGTCACCACCATAAAATGAGTATGTTAGGTGTGCATTGGTGTACCTGTTGGTGATTTTGTTGGGCGTGCTGCACGCTTTTTGGTGGAAGTGACTCGTCTCGGTCTTATGACAAAACACACTACATATGGCTTCGGGGAAAAAGTTTGAAAATCTGGAATAAGAAAGATTGGACAGGCATAGAGAGGCAAAGAAAATTTTAATGAGACATTTTTTTTTTCATTTTGAATAACATCTTGATCGCTTAAAAGCTAATGTTCAAATGATTGATCATTTTTTGAAATTGAGAGATTTATTTCTTTTCTATTAAAGATAGATCGCGGTGTTTGCCGCTAAATTTTACACCCACACCTTACTGCTTTAATGCTGTTGACTTCAGTCATAATGGCGTTTTCGAAATTAAAAGTGGTGCTCAGTTAACTTGGTTAAGCTGGTTAGCAAGCGATAGGATTTTGGAAACGTAGTTTATTTCATTATCATCTCTGGAATAAATATATCTTATTAACCAAGCGCGAGGGCCGTACTGGGAGAATATCAGCCCAAGGTCTTGACAGTACGGACCGAGCGCAGCGAGGTCCGTACGAAAAAGACCGAGNGGGGCAGCTTGTGGGTTTGCTTGCTATTTTGATAATTAGTCGGAGAGGGACTATACGTAAATAGATAATTTGAATATATCAAAAAAGTTGAAATGGTAAATTGGCCACCGTTACAATTATAAAAGCTGACGTTTCGAGCGTTAGCCCTTCGTCATTCGCTCCGACGAAGGGCTAACGCTCGAAACGTCAGCTTTTATAATTGTAACGGTGGCCAATTTACCATTTCAACTTTTTTGATATATTCAAATTATCTATTTACGTATAGTCCCTCTCCGACTAATTATCAAAATAGCAAGCAAACCCACAAGCTGCCCCTAAAAACCTTTGCGAGCCCTCGTTAAGTGTTATCTTTAGGTGACATTCATTGATGGTGATATCCCCAGTTAGCATTTGTTAGATAAGTATACCAAATATACCTTAAAATGTGTTTCCCCAACTGGATTGTGAATAAATGTAGTGAAGCAATGGGTTCATAGATAAAACCGTAAGGGTTGATCAAGGTACACCTAATTTGTGTGAACATCACTAAAGAGACATAATCACCTGATATCGGACAATGAGTATCATTTAGAGTTACTAACTCAACTGAAGTTGGCCAAAGAATTTTAAATCTTTACATAAAAATTCCAAAAAAAGGCTAACCAAAAATTAAAAATTATTTTGGTAACATCTGAGAGGTTCATTCTTTAGAAGTACTTTCGGTTATACGTTAATTAGAAGTGGGTGTAATCTAAGGCAACATCTCTCTTTCGTGATGTTCTTTTTCTTGCAACAAGTGCACAGAAGAAAGTTTTACAAATCATCAACGTATAATAACGCTTAGGTTACCATTAACTAACGCATGTTTATTTTACCACAGCAAAAAGCCCACGTTCGCACGTTTTTTCCATGGCCTTATTTTCCACTCACAATTTTTTAATCAACCTTTCGTGATTTCTAGTTCATTTTCGTTCGGTTTGTATATCAGGTGACTTCTGACTTTTCATTGTGGTTGAAAAGAAATGATATGATACCATACGCAACCCTTTCTTTCAAAAAACCTCCATCCATCTTACAATGAGAATACTGATGAGATTTTCATTCTTATCGGGGGAGATCTAATTTTGTTATATTACCTGTCTCATACAAAACCTTTCATATGAGGCCATAAAATTTCTACCTCATCATTAGATGTTCCCTGAATTCTTCCCAGGTAGCTTTTATTTTGCTTTGTCAAGATGTTGTTTACATGTTTAGCTCAGTGTTTGATGTGATAGGAATGTTTTCCAATGAATGACAAGTTCAACACGCTTTCTTACCCTCGTAATCATCCTCGTTAGTTAAGTGGCCTCTTTTCACCGCCGATTCATTGTCATCTACAAGTAAAAGGTTTAAGATTTGATAGTTTTAGCTGAGCTTTGTAAAAGCGAATATTTTCAGATGTCTTCTGTCAGAAGCTTTGTTTATAACTCAGTCTTGGATTGTCAAAAATAGTTCTGCGTTTGCCTGCTCAGATAGCTGGCCTCCACTTGACAATCAGATTTTCCCGGATTAATTCAGTGACCTTATCTTTAGGTGTGAGGCTCCGCTAGCGCGCATACGGCGCGCATTAGCTTTGCTGAGCAAGAGATGACAGCTATTCAAACGTACAACATGGGCAGATTTTCTACTGCAGAAATGATGCCGTAAAAGTCTACGTTGACATGCTGTGCATGTAGTTGGAAAGCAGTCTGTACCTCTGCTATCATACCTGTGTCTAAGTTTTCCGGGTCCTCTTCATCCACAGCTGTGTCTGTAGCCTCGTCACCGTCGTCCTGAGCCTCGCTATCGATACCTTCGTCTAAAGAAAGAAAAACTGAACATTTTTACTCCATCTTCGATGCCAAAAAAGCGCTGAAGTGTCAAAATATCCTTTAAGATTCCATGCGTCCAGAAATGAACGCTGAGTTTCTTACCTTTGGTAATACTTGCTAAATCTAGGAAGAGATAAATAAAAAACTATGACTTAGTATGTATTTTACCAAGCAAGTCTAACATTCAGTTTAATTGGCTTGGCAGGTCAGAATGTCGACAAAAATCGCTTGAAAATAGTGAGACCAATATTCTTGCAAATATTTTGTCCTTGTCTTACTCTACGGGTGGTGAGATCAAATTCAATCTTCAAACACATATCAAATATATCGTGCAGCATAAATCTGACTCCTTCACTGATACGAAGAGAACCATAGCGTTCTCCCTAATAACATGCAAATTTACAGGATGAGTGTTAATATCAAGACTTACCTTTCAAACTTCTTGCCCTCACGAGGTGGCTGGTGATTGACAGGCAGATTAGAGCGGCTAGGAGCGCGCTCGTGAATTTGATATTCATACTCGTCACCCTGCTAAATACGACAAAAAGAAGACTCATTCAAAACCAGCCTATTCAGTTTTTTATTCTATCGACTGGCATAAGTTACAATCATAAGACGATTTCCTAGAATGTTCAGGATCCAAAATCTCCTCATAAAGAGAGTACATTGTCATTCCGAACGCTTAGAAGATTTTGTAAAGATATCAAACGGAAAATATTGTGGCGAATTCTAAAAAAAAAAAAAGAATTGAAAACTACAATGAGGTATAGCAGTATGTCTGACGCTGGTTTTTAGAGTTGTAGCTTATGAAATAAAGGAGACTTAGAATTAAACGCTTACAGGCGAATAAAATCAAGTCAGGCTCGCCAACAGGTGATTTTTAATTTCTTCGTCTAACATGTGGAGACATTGAATAGCCAACAAAGTTAAATTTAACACCCCGAATCAGTAAAACTAGTGATCCAGCGTTTTTGGTTCATAAGACATTTCTTCGATGGACTTTCTGGGCGAAGAGAGCAGCGCTTGTTCACGGAGTCTTGCGGAGTGATCTCCGTTATTAAACGTTTTGTTATTGACTTCAAGACTAGTATTTATATGACGGACCATTAAACCGTGTGGCTCTTTGTCTAAATCGCCTCGTACGGTACCATAAGTGAGTTGCATTGGGACATAGCACATAAACGCGCCTAGAATGAAGAAATAAGAATAAAAACATCATACCTTTCCCCTTTTAGTCCAGCAATAAAGAGGGAAGGAGAGTTGTTAACGAAATCACTTTTCCGAAAAATCCTTTTTTCGCTGAATTATTTATTCCGCTCAGCTGGTACTTGCCCCGCTCTCTGTAAACTACGCGTGCGCATTGACCTTGTGAGTCATCTGACGATAAGATCATTGACTGAATGAGAATGTGATCTCGTTTCTCGACCTCCTGGATAATTTCCTGCCAAATATGTTGAAATAAGTTTATGACCATCACTTCAAAGTTAAAAAAAAAATGAAGAAAAATTCAAATTCAAAATGAACTCTACTTGACTCCGCATTTGGGAAAGAAGTGATCATTGTCTCACTTATATTGCCATGTTGACTCTTGTGCCAGCCATATATGGATGTGTTTCGAGATTTACGCTCCCAAGATAAGAACAGAGATTCTCCTTTCTAGCTTCCACACATTTCATTGTAATTTAGTAACGAGAAATTGGCGTTACGTCGAGAAGATATCCTTTCGATTATAAGTTGACCTATTTTTATCACCTCAGTTCTCGCTAGATAATTCAGATACTGAAAGAAGATGTCACATTTTAGTAAAATGGTGCGAGCTAAAGGGTTAAAATGTGCAAAATGTGATTGGACACACTATTGTTTTGATGCTCTTATTGTGCAACAATTTTCCTTAGTAACGCATTGCACCGCCAATTTAGTTCGTGTTGTTATATAAGAGTTTAATGTGCATGCAATGCTTTCGGAAACTCGTGTTATTTGGCAAAAGCTCCACCCAATGACGCATTGGAAAACATAGAATGTAGTATATAAAAAAGGGATCTTTAAAAGTAGAGGATCTGACTGAAGGAGAGCCCGAGAGGCAATGAACTTTCTTTTTCTCAGTTGGAATACAAATTATTGTTTGATATATGCGATATTTGGAGAAAGACAAAAGGATAACAATGGCGATAATGGTGCTGAATGCCGGACTTACAGCATATCTTCTCCTCCCCCCC